ATATGGAAAAGAACCCATCATTCTGTACTTGAAAGAAGTGACAGGTGTAACTGCAAGGGAATGAAAGGCATGAGCCTAAGTCTGCAAAACAGATTCAGGACCATGTGCTGAAGAGCGGAGTCTGGGAACCGAGACCCAGGATCACAGAATCTATCAACACTCGTCAGTTCTTTAAAAAAAGAAAAAAGAAAAGAACACACATCTCTGCACAGTGTTCTCCTTACAGTTTACATAATGTTCTTACGTATCAGCTCACATTCTTCATACAAAAAACCTGTCACGGTGGGTGTTAGGATCTCCATCTGACAAATAAGGACACTGGGCCTCAAAGACCCAAGATGCAGTAAATGGAGAAGGCAACACTGGAACCCAGGACCCTGCCTCCTGGGCCAGAACTCATGGCCCAGATTCAGATGACTGTAAATTTCAACTGATGTATAATGGCATAAAGTGCTACCTGTCCACAGAAAGTTGGCAGGCTGGAAGGACGAGGGGCTCTTGGTCTACCAGATAGATGACAGGGGAGGAAAGGAAGAACCTTCTCAGCAAAGGACAGAATAAGGAAAAGCACACAGAATACAAATGTGTTGTTTGTTCAAGAAATGCTGAGCAGCTCGGTGTTGCTGGGGCTGATGGTATAAACTGTGAGAGGATATGAGAGGAAATTTAAGATGATAGAAAAGCAAGCAGAAAATTGTACAGCACATATGGAGGTCAATTACTACAAAAACGTCACCCTGTGACCCTGCTGTCCCGTGTGGAAGTGTATCCACCGCTGTGTCTGCTCGTGTACTGAATGACTTCTGTGCAATGTCCTTCGTGGCTATACTTTCCAGACTAGCCAGCAGTCCAGGTGTCCAGCAACAGAGGACTGATTAAATAAACTGTGGAGTATCTCCACGGTGCACTACTACCAGCTCTAAGAAAAATTATAATTTCCTTGTATAGATATATTTTTTAAAACTCTTCAGAAAATATTATTAAACAAAAAAAATCGTAGACCTTTTCTGTAAGTTTAAAATTATATATTTAAAAAACAAGTTTCAGAATAGTGTGCTCCTCTCATGAAAAAATAAAAGAAAAGGCTAACTATTCATATTTATGTCCAAGAAATGGACAGAAAGTTACGTACCATGGGAATCTGAGAAGACTGGGTTAAGGGGGAGGAAGACTTCTCGCTGTAAATCTTTCTGTATCACTTAATCTTTGTACCACATCAATATATTACCTATTCAAAATGTAAAGTTACATTAAAAAGTATTTTTAACCAAGTGAGTTAAAAATTTATCTCCACCAAAAAAAAATATCCTGCACACTAATGTTTCTGGCACTTCATTTATAACTGCCAAAACTTGGACCCAACCAAGATGTCCTTCAACAGGTCAATAAAAATAACTGGTACATCCAAGCACAGAATATTATTCAGTACTAGGGGGAAAAAATGCATTTAAAAGTCTGGAAAATACACAGAAGACTTTTAAACGCATATACCAAGTGAAAGATGACAGTCTGAAAAGGCTACATACTATATGATTCCAACCAGACGACGTTCCGGAACAGGCAAAACTATGGAGATCGTAAAAGACCAGTGGTCAGCAGGGGTAGGGCGCGGGGAGGGAGGATGAGCAGGCAAACAGAGGATTTTGGGGGCAGGGAAACGATTCTCTCTGGTAGTGTGATTAATGGTGGACATGTGTCATTATACATGTGTCCAAATCCACAGGATGTACACCCCAAGAGTGAACCCAAGTGCAAACTATGGAAGGTGTCAATACTGGCTCATCAGTTATAACAAATGTTCCATATAGAGCACGATGTTCCTAATAAGAGAAACTGGGAGGCGGGAGGGGGTGGTGAGGGGTTATATATAAGAACTCTGTACTTTCTGCTTATTCTTCTGTAAAGCTAAAACTGCTCTAAAAAGTAAGTGTTAATTTAAAAGAGAGAAAAGAAAGAAAAAGTGAGCAGGGTGCCAGTCGGGAAAGTTCTGAATGGCACACCAATCAGCCTGGACTCTCATCATATAAACACGACCCGGCACTTTTAAACAAAGCAGCGACAGAGCCGTGGGGGGGGGACATTTCTGGTGACCTTGCAGGAATAAAACTCCAGGACAACGAGACGGGGCATCAATGAGCAGATTATACAAGGGAGATGGGGTGGGTCTGAATAAGACGGGGGCAGGGGGAAGAGATGGGGACACAGGACAGGAAGCAGCAGGACTCAGTGACAGCTGTCCCTGTGCAGAGGGATGGGTGGGAAAACAAGGGTCAACTTTTCCTCCCTTTCTGAATTAAACTATGTCGCAAACAACGGAGCTATTTGAGGAAATGGAGCAAATGAGATGGGAAAATGAATGTGATTTTGGACACATGAGGTTATTTCACCTGCAGAACATGGATGTGGAAATGGATAACGGAGCTCAAGACACAGGTGTGTGACTCAGGAAAGAGGTCAGAGCTGCCTGAAACACTAATTCTGGGGTGTATCAAACCACACTTATTTACGCAAGGAGACAAATTCAACCTACAGTGTTTTTTGGTGATAATACACCATGGACTAACGAGTGAGAAGAATCTATTTCCTAAAATGACTGTAACCACGAGACTAAAATATGAATATATTTAGCCTATCCCTCCAAAAAAGAAAACATTTTTTTCTAAATTGTTTATTTCAGACATATTTATACAGTAGTCCCCCTCTTATCTGTAGGGGACACGTTCCAAGACCCCCAGTGGATGCCTAACAGGACCAAACCCTATATGTACTGTTTGTTCCTATGCATACATACCGATGAGAAAGTTCAATTGATAAATTGGGCACAGTAAGAGATGAACAACAATAACCAATGGTAATATATATATAACTATTAAAATAATATACTGTAATAAAAGTTGTGTGACTGTGGCCTGTCTCTCTCAAAATACCTTATTGTACTGTCCTCACCCTTCTTCTGCTTGTGACATGTAAGGTGCCTTATAAAGTTGAGAGCGTTTGCCTTCTCACTTAAAGGAAGCGCGTTACGGCTCCCCTCTGGAACTTCCAAACCGCCAGCATCACTGCCTTTGCGCCCCAGGGCCATTGCTAAGTAGCACAAGGGCGACTTGAACACAAGCACTGTGACACCACGACAGTCCAAATCTGAGGGGCTACTAAGCCACTGAAAAGACCTTTAAGAAAATAACACCTGTTCCTTAGGGATTTTTAAAGCACTCGAAATAGGAATGATGTATACTTTCTAACATGGTAAAACTATATAAATCTCAGTCCGAAAGCCAGCCTCTGACTTAGTGGGGAAGCTTTAGACACAAAGGCACAGACACCCACTCTCTCCACCACGATCGACACTGAATCCCAGCTCTAAGCCAGTCAGACAAGAAAATGATTGTAGCCCGGCTGGTGTGGCTCAGTGGTTGCGTATCAACCTATGCATCAAGAGGTTGCTGGTTCGATTCCTGGTCAGGGCACGTGCCCAGGTTGTGGACTGAATCCCCAGTGAGGGGCATGCAGGAGGCGGCCACTTGATGTTCTCTCTCATCGATGTTTCTATCTCTCTCTCCCTCTCCCTTCCTCTCGCTCTAAAATCAGTAAAGAAAAATAAAATAAAAATTTTAAAAATAAAGAAAATGATTGGAGATTTAAGAGCAATGAAATTATCTTGACTTGCGTTATAACAATATACCTGGAAAACCCAAAAGAATCGATGATAAAGTTGACACAGCTAATGAAAGAATCTTAGAAAAATAGCAGAATGAAAACTGAACAAAGTAGCCATCATAAAAGTCTGACAACACACTCCAGGAATACAGAGAAGCAGGCAATGCCAAACACTGCTGGTGGGAATGCAAAACGGTAGACCACCCACCAGGAAATTTGATATCTAATAAACATGCATACTTATTTACCCTGTGACCCAGCAACCCCATTTCTAGGCACTGATCCCAAAGAAACCCTGACAAAAACTGTTTTATTGAAGAACTCTAAATAGAAATTGATGGATAATTTATTTAATATTTAACATAATAAAAATATATAAACCAGGACCAGACACTGTGACAGATGACATGTTCAGCACTGCTTGTAATAGCAGAACACTGGAAAACAACCCAAACTTCCTGAGATATGGGACAGATTCAACTCTGATGCATCCATAGAATGGAACCCCGTGCAGCTGGCTCCCAGTGGGAATGAAGAACATCTCTATACCACGTGGAGGGAGCTCCAAGAGCTGGCTATTTGAAGAAAGAGAGTGGACAGAAGTGCACTGTGCATGCTACCATTCACCTGAGGAAGGAGGAAAGGGCCCATGTGAACGTGTGTGTGTTTTAAATGAAAGAATAAACCAAAAAGCTTCCCACCCATGGTCAAAACAGTAGAAAAAGGAAATGGAGCAAATGAGGAAAAAGGACGCTGGGCTTCTGTGAATACACAGGTATCTCTCGCTCCACTGTGCTGCGCTTTATTGTGCTGCACAGATGTTACTTTTCTCTCTTTTTGTTTTCAACTGCAGTTGACATGCAATATCCTATCAGTTTCAGGTGTGCAACACAGCGATCAGACATTTATATAACTTAGGCAGCGATCACCCCCAGATCAGTCTAGGGCTCAACAGATGTTGCGTTTTTTATAAACGGAAGGCCAGACACTCCAGCAGTGACAAGATCACACCTTGCTTTGTCATGGTTCTCACTTTATGGCGGTGGTCTGGAACCAAACCTGCAATAGCTCCAACATACACCTGTACCTTGTTCTGCAGACTTGACTTGGGAACCATGTAAATATTTTACTTAATTATAAAATAAGGGTCATGGCAACAAACACAGAATTCTCCATATGACTCTGTTTTTAAGGCTATAAACAAACCCAATGGAAATGGGACTCAGCAGAGCCGACACGACAGCTCGGACAAGGGAGCAGGCCTCCATGAAGAAGTGAAGGCACGCAGGGCAAAGCCAGAGAAAGAACAGGTGCCCACTGAGAGACGGCCACGCACCACTTACCTCCACCTTGCTCTCAGGTTCATGATCAGCAGCCGGGAAATACACCACCTCTTGCACTTCATCCCTGGGCCGAGCTGAATTCTTCCCAAACACCACCAGACCGTCCTTAGCACACGGCGGGAAGGCCACCAAACAGCAGCTGGGCGGGGCTGCAGCCATCCTGAGAAGAGAGCGGATGCAGGAGACAGAATGGGAGCGGGCCTGCTGTGGGGCACTCCAACAGCGAGCTCTCCGCGCACATTGCACCAGTGGACACCACTTTCGTGTGCAACCCTGTGCAGCTAGCTCACGACGAGATCCCAGCTGGCAAACGAAGGTGGGGTGTCTGGAGTAGAGTTACAAAGCCACCGAGACCAGATAGTGTTTAGTACTCTGTGGGATTAAACAAGCTCAGATCTGCAACAAACTGCAGTGCCAGCCAAAAGCACGATGACGTCAGAGAAAGGAAAGGAGGTCATTGTTCCAGGCAGCGAACACACGCACTCTGCAGTCTGTCACAGCAACGGAAAAATAAATCAATACCTTGTAACAGAGCCCTTCAGAAGTGCCTCGGATCTAGAGGTGCATGGCTGCCATGTGATAGATTTTGCGGTGGTGATGGAAATGGGTCTAGATTTAGATTGCCAGAGACTCCCCCTTTTTATACATTTTTGCTCTATCTCAGTGACATAACACTCAAGCATCTCCTGGTTTCCCTCCCAACTCTCCAGCCGGCCTGTTCTCTTCTACCTGGTCATTGAGCATCCTCACTGCTCCATCCTTTCTCCTTTAATGCTCTCTTTTCTTCGGGAAAACTCCTCCACGCTCAGAGCCACCCTTGTCACGTCTGTGCCAGTGGCCCACGCATTTAACCGCAGCTCAGTTCTCCCCTTGAGCTCCCATCCTACCGGATACCCAAGGCGGATTTCATCATCTTCCCCAAGCTGGTCCCATTTCCCAGGTTCCCACAGCAGTGGCCAGGTCCACACCCAGCCTACGAGAACATGGGGACCTCGGGAACTATCTCACCATCTGCTTCTCCGTTACCTGACATACCAAGTCCTGTAGGTTCGACCTCCTAAATCTCCATAGGAACCATCCACTGCTCTCCATCTCCACTACCACCCACTGCACCGAGCACCACCATCTCTAGCCTGGATCGCTGCAGAAGCCTCCTAAGGGATGACTCCATACAGCTATCATCCCCCCCCCCCCCCCAGAGCATTCTCCACATTGTAGCCAAAGCGATCTTTTTAACAGGAAGATTTTTTTCATATCATTCCTACTTAAAATCCTTTATAGGTTTCCCACACTCGCCCCTCCACCCTCTCAACTCCAGCACACAGGCCCTTACCAGTTCCTCCAGGACGCCCAGGGCCTTTGCACAGGCTGTGCCTGCTCCTTGAGCACTCCTTACCCTGCTCCCTGCACCAAAGCCATCTGCCGAGTTGACAACTGCTCCTTCCCATGCCAGCTCGAATGCCACGCTCATTTATGTCACCAGACAACACAAAGAATCAGATCTGAAATATCTGTGTCACTATTTTATTACCAACTATCAATATTTAGTCCCCCTCCCCAAAAAAAGTCTAAGCAATATGAAGGCAGGGACCATGTCTGTTTTGCACACCACTGTAAACACAGCTCTATTTTCTGCAGGGTAGATTTCAATAAATAATGAACAAGTGTTCAGTTCTCCTTTCTTAACAGTCCACCAAACTGAAGCTCACTCCCTACCACACACCCCTGCACCTGGCTGGAATGAATGCCCTTCTCTTAGTCTCGGTGAATATCTGTCAAAATCTGGTTCAAAAATCCCTTTCTTTCAAAAAACTGTCTATTAAGAACTCAGTCATTTTCTCGGCATCCATCCACAGCACGAATGCGCCCTTCTGTTCTATGACGATGTGTGTGTGTTGCTTGTAAATGTACTGCTTCCTCTTCAAATAAAGCTCCCTGGGGCAGGACCCATGCCACCCAACTATAGGTGCTCTTTCCCCCGCCCCCCGTTATTAGAGGCACTCAACCAATATTATCTACAGAGCCAACTGTCATATTTGTGTCATTCATCACCCAACTTACATGTATTTTATTTTATAAACCCAAAATATAAGTGAGAAGGAAAGCAATGTTCTCAGAAAAACAACTGGGATTCAAAACTCAGCCCCACTACCTACCAGCGGTGTGACCCTGAGCAAGTTACTTTACCTCTCTGAGCCTAGATTTTCTCTTCTGCACATGTTTTGCCCCAGCCCACAGGTGTATCATGAGTACCAAATGAAATGATACTTGGGAATATATTTTGCAAACTCTGAAGGCTGCATGAGTATAAGATATTTTATTTGTGTTTCTGGCTGTTCAAATAGAGCAGCATCTCAACATTTCTGTGGAGCAGGCCAATCAAAACGAAGTCACCTCGCTCATAGCTGGAGCAGTTATCAAACTGCAGAGTTAGCAACAGTCTATGTCTAGGAACACTCCGTGAGGGACCAGACTGCTGTGTGCACCTCCAGGCTACTTCTCGTTCGTCTCCGCCTGCACAGCCGAGGCCCCACTGGGTTGCTCAGGGCAGCCCCTAACTCGGAAAATAATTCCCTCCCCGCTAGGAGGAGTAGCCCCTCTCGCTTTGTGAGAAAGAAAAGGCAGGAAGATAAAGAGACTCCAGTTCTTTCTCCCCTTAACCTTTCCCATGTACACAAAAACTGCATTATCCTCAGACTTCAGGGGGAGAGAGAGAGAAACAAAGGCGCTGTATGTGGAAGAAAGACCTAGAATAATTATAAGATAAAGTGCCTTTATCGAGGGGTTCCTAGATCTTGGGGGTGGGGAGAATTACTGGCTGAACCAAACAAGTGAAACAGACCCAGGAGAAGATAAGACGGAGAAAGGACGCATTTACCTGTGCCTGTGTGCCTCTCGTATGTAATATGACTTCCCTTCCTCCCCTATTGTTGGGCCACTTCAAAAGTACTGCAGTCTCATCTATGAGAAACCCTTACTTATTTGATCCTTAAAAAATAGTAGGAATCCACTGATCTTGCAGTTACGAGATGTATCAACAGAAAATAAATAAAACCCACAGGGTTTGTGACAAGCACCTCCTCTTCAGCCAGGACATCTGCTTGGTCAGCTTGACCAAGTCATCGAGGTCACTTAACCATAACGAGGATGTAAGCAACAGAAGCCCAGGGGACTGTGGGCCAGGGAGACTGATTTTCCACTGAATTTTGTGACTGCCAGAAGGGAGCAGAATTTTAATGTCTATTTTTTTTTCATGTGACATAAACCAGCAACCTGTGCATCACGACGAGCAGCAAACTAGGCAAGGCTACTTGTCCATTTATTCTCCCCATGTCACCATTGCACACAGCGGAGCCTCGGTGATGACCTAGCTAGACCCTTTCCTACTCTCTAGACCAGTGCTGTGCAAAGCACTTTCCCCAGCGAGGGGCATGCGCTATCTCCACTGTCCACGATGGTGGCCACTAGCCTCACGTGGCTACTGAAGTAGTTAGCGGGATTAATAAACGGGATTTTTAATTTCGCTACAAACTTTAATTAGCTTCAGTTTAAATAGTCACACGTGGGTAGTAGGAAGCCGGTTGAACAGAATGGCATTACAACTTGCCAAAGAACTCAGAAGTGAAGATTTTCATACTACAGTTTCCAACGGTCCCAGAAGTACTTATGTATGAAGTCTTCCACTTATCCAAAGACAAATGTGCCATCATCCATATAAAGAGTTGGCAAAGAGGAAGCAGGACACTTTCAGAAGACTGCAGAAAACAAACATTGGGAACAGCTCCTGAACTCACCGGACAGACTGGTTGAAGCAGGCTCTTCCCTCCAGAAGCCCAAGGGGATTGGAGCCCCAGATGCCACGTCCACGCCCTTTGATGTAAAGCTCCTGTTCCTAACTCTGAATGCACCGTGGAAGTGGTCCTCGCCCTGCCTGCAACACCTTCAGGTACTTGTCAGGTCCATTCCTCTCTTATCTCCTAAATGAACTTTATACCTTCGCTCCTCTCCAAACCTCCGACCACCCCCTCCAAGCTGATGTCTCACCTCCTAGTCCGCGAAGGACAGACGGCTGGGGAGGAAGACTGTTCGAGAGATGATAAGCAGGTTTGAAGGCCCTGTGGCTGGAGAAAGGGAAGGAACCGGTAAGTAAAAACCCGTGCAGCCGAGGCCGGAGAGCGTGGGGGAAGAGGCTGGGGAGGCAGAGAGGCCAGGGCAAGGATTCCGTGTCTATCCCAAAATAAACACTAAAGCCACTGAAGGCTTTGGGCCAGGTGTTAGGTCGGAAGTGCAGCCAGTGCATACGGACACCTTTTCCAGGAAGCTGGCTGTGATATGGAGGAGACAGCTCCTTGGGTGGAGGTGGAAGCGGGGACAAGTAATTCCATTTCTCTGTTTCTCCCCTAACGGACTGGTCAGGAAAATGGACAAGATTTATGCATAAATGTGTTCACTACAGAGGTATTTATACAGGTGAAAACGTTAATTGTACAGTATCAGAGAAATGGCCAAAAATATATGCTACATTATACGGTGAAATACTATAAAACCATTAAAAATACATTTGGGAAGAGTTGTTAATTGCACAAGAGAAATGGTTTGGGAAAAGGGCCCAGAAATAAATTCTTACTTATGTAAAAATATTCATAGATATAGGCTAGAAGAAAATATGCCCCAAATATTAACAACAGTTGTCTGACCATTAAATTTGATGTGGTTTTTTTTTCATATTTTCCTTCAATATCCAATTTTCCTATAGGTATTTATACTTATATGATCACAACAATGATTTAAAAAAAATAATAAACCCAGACAACATAACCAATTTTGGACTTGTATTTTAAAGAAAAAAGGTTTGGTTCTATTTCTTTGTCCTGACACATCTGAAATTTCAAACCTGGCCAATTCTTATTTGAGAACTATTTTAAGATGATTTTTTTATTTTTTATTCAGTGTTATTATAGTTACTCATTGATACTTTCTTCTACTTTTTTTCTTTTTTTTTTACAGCCTGCCCAGTTCAGGGTGTCACTCAAGGAGTACACAAATTTTCATGACTAGTAGTCACACAAATAGTGGGCAGGACTCCTACAGCTGTGTCCCTACCAGGAAAAGAAAAACCAGGCCAGCACACAGCCAGTTCTCTCCTGAGCCTCGGATGAAATCCTTCTAAAGCGATTCAGGGAAATTCAATTTTGTTCCTATTATGTATCAAAATACTGGTTAACATACCAGGTATTCAAATATTTAAACAAGTGTGTGTGTGTGTGACAAGTTAATTCATCTATATACTATATAAAATATTAATTTTGACATTTTTATTTTCAAGGTTTTTATAAACCGAAGTCATTCGTGCATGACACAGACACACTTTAAGATGTTTCTCCTTTCCCCTTCGGAATCCTGCATCACTTTGAGATGCCATATTTTCCTCCACAAAGAAAAATAAATTAAAATTCAATGAACTCCCAATCACACATGCTGATGCAAACAAAAAATGACTGCATAAAATGTTTTCATCATTTATATTTGGCTTCAAGAAACAGAATATAACCATTTATGAATGGCTTTTCCATTGTAACTAACTCTCCTTGACCCTGCACTGGACTTAGAGCAGAGCTTACCCAGAATCGAAGCCACGCCTGAGGGCTTTGTTTTTCCACCTGTTTGTTCTGAGGAATACTTCCAAAGCCTTTTGCTGAGCCTGGGACCCCAGAGGTCAGGTCGGTGTCACACTACAGGCCTGAACCTGCACCTAGGTGTGTCAAAAGTAGTGTTTTCTAAACTGTATGCTGTGGCCTCTTCATGGGTTATGAAATCCATTGCATGGATAAGGTTCCAATCTAGTGGATAAGATCAGCATTTTTTTAAGAGAAGCATTTTCAAGAAAGCATATATGCACTTCTCATAGTAAGGAAAAGGGCTGGTATAGGACACATTACGTTCAGGTATGGAAACGTAGTGTGTGTGTGTGTGTGTGTGTGCGCGCGCGCGCGTGTGTGTGTGTGTGTGTGTGTGTGTTGGGTTGAAATACAACATTTCTCTCTTACTGTGGGTTTCAAGCAAAATTCTTTAAAAGCAACAGGCTTATTCTACTGAATAAGGCTTCTTTGTGCTAAATACACATTAGGATTCTTGCCAGGTTAGCAATAAACTACCAGTTCCAATTAATGAAATACTCCAATTGAACTCCCCTGGACGGTTAAACTGACAGCCATTTCCTACGAAGTATTTGTTAAGAGTATTTTAAAGTATATTATCTGTCCTTTATGCTAAGTGGTGTAAGCCAGTCACAAAAATGCATACACTGTATAATTTCATGCGTATGAGGTTGCTAGAAGAGTCAAATTCACAGAGACAGAAAGTAGAATGGTAGCTTTCAGGGGCTGGGGGAGAGGGGGCATGTTTAATGGGTATCGAATTTCAGTTTTACAAGACAAAATAGTCCTGGAGATTGGTTGCACAACAATGTGAATATACTTAATGCAACTAAACTGTATACTTAAAAATAGTTAAGATGGTAAATAATATGTTATGTGTCTTTTTTAGATGAAATGGCCACATGTGGCTAGAGGCTACGGTGCCAGACAGTGCAGCCCTAGACATCGTGCTATCAGCCACGGTCAAGAATCCTCAAGTTCAATTTCTAACCATCATTGTCCTCCTTATCAGACTCCTTTCAGGATTCAGGACTTCCTCTCGGGAGCAAGCAATTAGAACACCAGGTTCCCTGGAGTTCACAGCTCCGAGCTGCATCTCCCAACATCCGTCCTCTGACTAATGGCAGGAGGCTGGGTGCGGGCGTGGGGGGCAGTACCCCTGTATCTAAGAGACGACTTACAGAATGCCTAGACGAGGAGGGAGGAAGCTGCCTGGGAGAAAAGGTCTTTGTCCTCAAGTTCAGTGAGTACTCACTCATTGAGGGTGTGAATGCTGAGCCCAGTAGGGCCTTGCTCTGCCCGCTGGCCAAACTGCTCTGCCTTGTGTCTCCATGAGCCACCCTGTCCCTAATCAGTCACCTTATCCACTTATGAGAAAACCCTGAGTTTCCTGAGAGAGAGAGAAATTACTGTCTTTATAAGCTACAGGTTTATTAACTGTCTTGCAAATCCTGGGATGAAGCGCCTGTACTTGCACAAGGTAATGACATCCAAATGCCCAGCCAGCTTCCTTCCTGTCCAAGCTCCCAGCTTTACTGAGCAGGCTGCGTATGTGTAAATCCAATGTCTGTGCATTGGGATTCTTTTATTATCTTATGTCTTGATAAATTCGTGTTTTAAAGTATTGCTATTCCTGCTGGACAGGAAACAGGACAAATGATACCCATTTATAAATTGATTTTTCTCTCATACGTCTGCTATTGGAATAGAAAGGAATAAATAAGGTGTGTGGGGAAGAATGATCTAACTAAAAATTGGGTTGTGAACACCAGCTGGTGAAAGGCACATAAATTAGCTCGGACTCACCAAGCCCTGCCCGAAAGAAAGACTCCGCTAAGTACTTCACGGAAGGCTCAAGACGGGACAGCGTGAAGCCGTAGGAGGCTGTTGGAAGCTGACTACTAGCAGCCAGACAGTTCCAGCTTCCAACAGTCAAAGCCTCAGGTTAGGAACTACCTAATGAAGGAAAGACTGCATTGAGCAAGCAAGCAGGCTTAGGAGTCAACCTGGGTTTGAACCTCAGCTTCATGTCACCTTTCTACACGGAGATAATAACAGGGTGTGGTAAGGTTTAAAGGAGCAGGAACTTGCAAATACTGATGAAGGGCTCAGAAAACGGTCTGAGACACGGTGAGAACTGAGCCATCATGAGGATAAGCGAGGGTAGAGGGCACGTGAGGAAGGCTGTTCCTTTGTCAAGGTCTGACCCTTCCGACTTCAGGAATTTGGCCTTTTCCTTGCAGGGTTGAAATGTTCTTTCACCTTTTGAAGATTTTCTTCATTGTCACCTCATGTCTTTTAAGAGCTGCTTAATATTCCCTTTCTCTAATGTCAACCGCAACACCTGCCCCTGACATTTCACACCTGCGGTCCTTAGTGCCAGTCGCCAGCTGACAGTCTTCCGAGCAGCAGCAAATGGGACAGGGGTAGCGGGCTGCACCTTTGGTTTGGCCCAGAGTGTTGGCATAAATAGTGGTTTTTGTGATCTGAATATAGCAGGTAACATTGTAAAACCTAGAGATTTTCTGTAGAAATTCTGGCTTCTCTTGAAAACTCAAAAGAGCTGGCAATGCCCAGTCCACACTGCCGCGGGACAGCGAGACTGGAGGAGGGTAGGGGCTCTTCTCATAGTCCCCCCGCCCCCTGATGAAGGCCAGTGAAAGCACCACGTCATCACCCTTGGGCTATTGCTTTTTCCCTCTTTTCAATGTCAGGTCAACGGCACTCATGTGTGATGCCTGCTTGGCCCCAAGTGCACAGGGGCAGGAGAATGGCACAGTTTAGAGACAAACAGAACCTTGTTTATATCCCGACTCCACCCACTAACTGAGAACAGGCAGGTTATGAACCATCTCTGAGCCAGAGTTTCTGCCTGTGAAAATGGGACCAATCCCCCATCACACGGAGCACTCATGATTACCATATGAAAAGCACCTAGTCCTGTGGCTGCATAAGGTGGGCGCTCTCTAGACAAACGCTCACTTTCCTCCTGCCTCTACTCCCGGGGATGGGTTTGCCGGTTTTGCACCAATCCCTACTATGCGCCTTCACCCTCTCACCAGGAATTGGCACCTAGCACATCAGACACACTCACATTCCAAAGTGTAACGAAAATGGGCTTAAAGAATCAAACTAGCACGATGATGTCCCCAGATCTAACCATCAGTTTTCAGAGACTACAAATGACACCGTGCCGATGCAATCAGCAAATCCAGACTACGAGAAACTCTCTAGGACAAATCAGATTTCTTCAACAACTACATCAAAAACTGCAAAGTGATCTCACTTATTTGTGGAATATAATGAACAAAAAGCTGATGAACAAAACAGACCTGGAGACATAGAAAGGAGTAGGGTTCAGACTGACAAACCTGAGAGAAGAGGGGCAGGGGCGAGGGGATGAGATAAACCAAAGGTCTTATATGCATGTATACATGACCAATGGACATAGTCAACACTGCTTG